TAGTAATCTGGCCTGTGGATCCTCATCAGTGACCTTCCAATCGTAAAGCAGCCTCTTAGCCCTCAAGGCTCCTCCACGAGATGAGAACACGCCTCATGTTTACATCCCCCCTGGACGCTGGCATGCTGTGTGGATGTATGTGTGCCTCACACGGAGGAGCTGGGGGGGTGTTTCTACCCTTTACCCTTCCTGCGCTGGCTGATAATGAGAGGAAATATACACAATAGAACCACTTTTTTCGTTGGAGGCAAGGGGGAGAAGGTTAGACAGAGAAAACAGGATGTGGAGGGGATGGCCTGATACAGGGAGGAAAGAGAGAATAGGGTGTGACTTAGAAAGCCAGGAAAGAGCGATTGCCTATTTACTTGATGAGAGAAAGGATGCATCATTATATAATTGTAAATCCCAGAAAGATGGGGTGTAATAGGGCTTCCTCTCCTCCCACTGCTGCTTCAGTAATTTATCCCTCTCTCTTTCCGTCCTTTTCTATCTCTCTCTTTTGCCCTGTCACCCATCAATCTTTTTCCAATTACCTGCTCTGTCTATTCGCAAATCCATCATAATCATTTCCATGGTAACAGGCTGCATCCTCCATTGGCTTTGGCCTATTGTTCAATGTAATTGCACGGCCAAAAAGCAGTCTTCAAAAGAGGGAAGGTGATGCGCAGGGAGACACAGGTCCTGATACCGTCTCCCGCACGTCTCTATACAGTTTACTTCAGAGGAGATAGTCTGCTTAATTTCTGCCTTGACGTCCGTTCATCAGACATTTTATTAGGCATTATGCTCAATGACAATGACAACCGGTCAATTACCGTGGAAACGAGGAAGCAGAGTTTGCCCATACAAGGTCAGTGAACCAAAAGGACATGTAGAGAAAAAAATATATATATCGAGGTGATTTTATTGTATTTGGGGAATTATAGTTGTTAGTCAAAGAACACCATTTTTGAGAGTGCCTCAGGTCACTGATTTCTCTACTTTTTTCCGAACAAAGTGATCCATACGTCCCCAGCAGATCTTTTGCTTTTCTTGTGCCGTATGAATACTTTCATTTGTTGCGTGATAAAGGCTTATATAATGAAATTGTACTTTCTTGTTTCTTGTTCTTTTGAGTTTGTATCCTTATGGTTGAAATGCACTTATTGTAAGTCGCTTTGGATAAAAGCGGCGGCTAAATGACATGTAATGTGGGTTGTCAAAGTTAATATACTGATCTTTTTGAATAAAATAAAGCAAAAGGTCATCCCTTTTCAAGTAAAACAAGTGAAGCCAGACTAACGTGTTTTTTTCCTGTGGAAGTGAATCTTCCTGCTCACACTGGCCAGTAAAAGGTTCCTTCAAAGCGCTACCAATGAAAGTTATGGGCGACAACACGGATGCAACATTGCAAATAAAACCTTACGTCATACAATATTTTCTGAAGTTACACTGTGAAAACTCTTTTTGTGTTTGACTGAACAAGCAGCAAAGGAAGGGTTGTAACATAAAGAGGCACTTTAGTATTCAAATATCTGGACCCTGGAAGACTTATTTCTGACAGAGTTGATCATACAAGGTATCCTCTTAAAGACAGTCCTGGTATGTTGATATAGTGGTTTGTTTATAGAATAAATGTTGGATTTTGTTATAATGCACCAAATAAAGCGCATCTGAGTGTGAACCCACTTCATAAGGAAATAGTACCCTTCTACGGCGGAAAACCCGGCAAAACACAATGGCAAACCAGGGAAAACACAACGGCAAACAGGAAAACACAAGAAAATGTCGGGAAGGTAGGTGTAGGCAGGACTCAAACGCAGAGTTCAAAAAACAAAAAAAAACTATTAGTCAAGACTACGCTATGGCCGGTGGACGCCGCGGACGTCTGTCCTCTGCTATAAGGCCCCACCCTTTCCGTGAGGAGTTAATTTCGTTGTGTTTTCCTATTTGCGTTGTGCGTTCGTATTTGCCGTTGCGTTTTGCACTTCAGGGCCACCGTACCCTTCAGAGGTCATGCAACACCAACAACGTTTCAGGGACGCAACCCACGACAAGACCCAAAGAACACTTGATAGGTCTGGGTTTTTAATCTACACATTATGCATGTTTAATGTGTTTAACTCTCAACGCTGACCGATTGGATAGTTTGAGAAAGAGGTGTATTCTTCTAAAGTAGATACCGACCGTGTCCATATGCAGCTTCAACTACTCAATAGCTTGTTCTAGACATTTGTATTTAGTTAAGCCAACTCAAGCTAATTTACAGCAAGGTTTGGCAAAGAGGAATTTGGTCTGTATAAACAAACACGCCGACAGGGACACACTCAATCATGCACAGGGCTCATGCAGCTCGTTGGCCTGTCGAAAAAACTGTCTGTAATCCAGCAGCGGACCACTATATCCACACGAACACACGCACAGGCGAACCAGAACACCATAGCTTTATACTTCAGAAAGTTCGGACACTGAAGTCATATTACTTAGGTTTAGTGTGAGGAGTTACAATTTCCCAAACAGTTATGTTTCAGTGTGTTTTCTTTTTTTAGGGGGACGAGATGGATCGTGACATGCTCAAACGCTATAAAAATCGCCCCAACAAAACAGATATTTAGTCTGTGGAGCGGGATTGCGAGTGAAACCGGGCGACCGAATATTAATAAAGGCAAAGAAAATTGTTACAGCACCAATGTTGAGCTCTCGCCGTTGTTCGGCCGCTGAATGAGGGTGAGGGAGAAAAATATCAATGTCTGTATGTATCTAATGGCTTTTGAACTTTCAAGTTTCAAGTGGCTACTTTGGTCACGTGAGACATTGACGACCAGTGCGACTTCGCGCTCTGGGCTGAAAAGTTTAGAACATCTGAACTTTTACCGCCTTAAAAACACAGGTCATTGGTCTGACCCGCTTCAGGTCCTCCGGGCCTCAAATGAGTGTGTATTGGCTGACCTGAGGTATGTACCACATAAAGGAGGGAATTCAATTTGCAAAACAGTAACTATGTTAAACATGAGGAGAAGCAGGTGGATCGTTATTCCTTTGATTTAAAATGCGCCCATATTGGGGAACTTCACAGGTCAGAGGTAAGGTAAGAGTGCAATTCAACAGCAGAATCTGTATCTTTTCTCTAATTTGATTATTTCTTATTAACTGCTGTTTGGTTTAAGTGTGTTCTTTTATTGCCAACTTGCTGTTATATCACGTCAAAAGCTTGCTTTTGCATCAATGACTTCCACCCATTCATTTAAATAGTAAAGAGTATTTGAAATCCTAGCAGGCCGATCCGGGAGCTGCAGCTGGCATGCTGGTAGGAGTCTGGAGTGTTTTGTTTTTGTGTTGTTTAGTGACATGTAACGTCCTCCACTTCCCATCAATCTCCTCCCCTCTCTCTCTCTCTGTCTCTCTCCCTCTGCCTGTTCAGGTGCATCAAGTCACACAGAAATGTAGCTTTAGAAACAGGAAATTGGGATTTTGAAATAAAAGCCTTGAGATACCGACTTTTCTTCAATAAATAACTGACTGACATAACCGCATCTAGGCTGTTAGTTTCTGCTGCTGTGGGGACAGGAAGACATGGCAAGAGACAGTCAACACTAGAGGTTGATGTGGAGAGCATTGGCCTGGGAAAGGACCGAGGGTAGTATCTCCAAAAACGGATCCTCTAATTCTGTAGCATCCTTAAAACATGTTTATATAATTGCAAGAAGGGTGATGAAAAGATCATGTTTGTGAATTATGCAAGGTTTTTTAGTTATATTTCAGGTTTATATTCATAATTTTTTATGGACGTTGTGTGTGATTTTATGGTCATTTTAATTTTACCTGATTATAAAATTGTTGTTCAAACAGACATTAATTCGGGGGTCGTTGTGTGTCGTTGTGCCCGCAGGGGGTAGAGCGGGTGTGCTGGGAACCGCAAGGTTGATGGTTCGAGTCTCGACTGCCCCATGTCTCAAGTCGAAGTGTCCCTGAGCAAGACACCTAACCCCTAATTGGTCCCTGGGCAAAATCTGAAAAGCAATGGGTTTGAAGTGTAATGTAAGTCGCTTTGGATAAAAGCGTCTGCTAAATGACCGGTAATGTAATTAATTGAACTACAAAGGCTTCAATTTCTTTGATTTCAAGCCCTGGTAAAAATCCCAAGATAAGATGATAGCAACAGGAATGAGCGGTCAGTGATACCTCCATCCGTCCATCCATCCATTGTCAAACCGCTTATCCTGCACACAGGGTCGCGGGGGGGCTGGAGTCCATACCAGCCAACTTCGGGCGATATCAGTGATACCTGTCATGGATTAATAAAAGTAAACGTTTTAAAAAGAAAATCTGTATATAATTATCTATGTCTGAACAACCACTGTCCAATTTCCCATTTAATTAAGTAGTTAAGTAACTTTTTTTATATTAGGCAATAAAGGGAACTGGTAGAAGTGGTTACATTTAGGAAGACTTGTCTTGGCAGCTGGTCAGCTTTGCTCCAGCCCATTCTGAATTGACTCCAATACATTACAACCATAAGCATTGCTAACAACAACACCAACGCCAACAGCACCACCACCAACAACCACACACATCAGATAATAGAAAGTGCAACAAAAGTCACAAACTAATTGATGGGTCAGAGTGATATTCAAAGAAACATTTGAGAATATACCATAAGAATCAGAATCAGTCTTATTGGTCACCTTTGCTTATGCATACATTGAATTTGACTTGGGTTTCCACTTTGTTCTAGTCCAGCAGAGTTGATATTTGAAGTAATATGGATTTCACCAACATTTGTAATGTCAACGATATGCTATGTCGTGTACAAAAAATTAATTATGGCTTTAGTGTAATGAAGCATAAATTGGAACAAGACCATCGTGAGAACGTAATCCCTTTAACTAATCGATCAATTTTCGGTAAAGTGGCCTTTTGTAAAAACAAAAACAACTAATCCTTTATTTTGAAAGTTTTTTTCGGAAACGTTGTCTCATATCCTGTCTGGTTTGATACTCACTGCACAGTCTGCTCGTGCGTGTGTGACAGTGCGTGTACGCGCGTCCTCGGATTCCTGCTCGGTGTTCGCACACCGACCGTCTCGTCAGTGTTGATCGGCTCGCTATGGCGGAAGGACGCAGAGAACAGCCGCCCCATCCTCTCCTCTCTTTACCACCGGCCAGCAAGCGACCCTGCCTGCGCCCCGCTCCCCGAGGTCCCGGCCCGGGGCCCGGCCACGGCAGCGGCTTGCCCAGCTCCCGGTATCGTTCCCCGGAGTCCCTACTGGACTGCGCCGCGAAGGCAGTCGCGGAAAAGTGGGCCTTCGAGCGGGTGGAGGAGCGCTTCGAGCGGATCCCGGAGCCCGTTCAGCGCCGCATCGTCTACTGGTCTTTCCCTCGCAACGAAAAGGAGATATGCATGTACTCGTCGTTTCAGTGCCGAGTCGCCGGCGAGGAGGGTCCGTCCGCAGCTACCGGCGGGACTGGGGGCACTGGGTCCGGATCTACAACCGCCGGCGGTGGCGGAGGATCTACCGGTACGACGGCTACCGTAGGGGCAGCCGGAGCAGCGGTGACGGGAGACGGACTTCCTTTTCGCCGGGGTATTAGGCTGCTGGAGACCGGTTGTGTGGAAAGTGTTTTACAAGTCGGTAAGTGGAATATTTCACTAAAAAAACCAGGCGAAGCTTTTTGACGCCATTCCGCGTGGGCAGTTTGCAAGTCCCGGCTGCAGGACGTTCACTAGGGATGATTGATGGAAGTTTTCCCTGCTGTCGTGGAAAGTACGCAACGCGGCGATTTCCCCCGAATACACAACAAATGTGTCTCTGCATGTGTTTTTAGTTCAGCGGGCGTACAAGGGGACGTTTGCTGTCGAATTGAGACATTTGTTCGGTTTCATTTTATTTAGGGAAGCGAAAATAAGGTCGCTAACTAGCTTAGCCGAGCAGCTGCTGTTAAAACATTAAAGGGCTTTTTCCTTTTGTGGCTCCTCGTTCCTCCGCAGTTCTCCGCCGGCTACTGCGTCCCTGCCTTCACACCTCGCCGTGTGTGTGTAAGCGCAAGCGTGTGTACGGTTATTCTAACGCGAGAAAACCGTGTTTGGTCAACTATTCAGCGCTCCCCTTCCTCTCCGGGGCTCCTCGTCGACGGACGGGGCTGGCTGGAGCTCGTAGCGGCGTGGGAGGGCTGACAGACGCGGATACAAAAGCGTCCTCGCGTCGGGGCTTTTATTTTTGTTTGTGCAAATGCCTCGTTGCAAAAAAAAGTCGTTTTTTCACTGACTCTGTGTCGGTTGAGGGGCGGCTTAGGCGAGGAACAAAGGCGGTTATTGGGTGCCTTTATTATGATTAATCCAACGTTAATCCGGGGGGGGGGGGGAGAAAAAAATCCCCCCGCATCTTTTTTTTGTTTATTTGCCGCTGCTGGTCTGACCGGACAAAGAGCGCAAGCGCCACCGGCGTGGAAAACACACGGGAGGAGTGTGTATGTTGATTTTATCTTTAGTAAAGCAAACCCGTTAAAAGATGGTGTTTTATTAGCGCGTTCGCCCTCAGCCGCTCGCGACACAAAAGGCGCCCCGGTCTAAACGATCGATCCGCGTCTCGCGTTCCCTGCGCTGCGCCGAGCTGCCTCCGAACAAAGGGCCGCTCCGCAGAGCTCCGGCCGCGCTCCCGGTCTCCCGACACAACAAATGGATAAATAGAGCCAGTTGGTGGGACGGAGCCGGTGGGTTTGTTCAGGGGAGACGAAAACAACCATTGAAAATAAGACAAAAACCGCAGTTCGTGGGTATTTCTTTGGCCATATGGCGTGACAGCCACTGGAGCTTGTCTGGGGGTTTCATATTGCTCCAAGGTATCTTCGCTATTGCCTGTATCTGGTTGCAACTTATACGTTTTATCGATTCCACCCCCATAATTAAATGAAATATGAGACATGTAAATCCCCCCCTCGGTATGTTTGGACCAGATGCAGGGCTTGCTTTAGTAAACCATAACTTTAGTGAAGGATGCCTGAGCGAGTTGGAAGCGGTGACCTACTTTGAAAACACATCCTGCCATCACTAAGACATCGGCCTGCTGCTTTGGCCCACACAGGTGAGGCTGAGGCACAAACAAATTCAACAATGCGCTCACACACACACCGGTGAGCAAATACTCCCAGTCCTACCCCCGAGGCCGGTCATACGGTTGGTAAGAACTCTGTATTGTCTTGCCTGTCAACAAATACGCCAAACAGGGTAGGGAGGCAAATAGCTGTGTGACATCAAGATAAGATTTGGCTTGTTCCAACACTTTGCACTCCGCCGGTTCCCGTGGCGTGGGGGGGGGGGTTGTTCACTGACTCACTAAGCTTGGATTGACGCTCATTAAGGATCGCGTTCCTGCGGCCTGTAAAACAGTGTCCAGATTGCATTCACCCGGCTCATTATAACATAATCGCCACTCACACATGGGAAGGAGTCGCCACACACGCTCTTTGTAACAGGATCTTGGCCGGGGAGCGATTAGGAAGGAGACAAGGCGGCACACTCGTTCATGCATTAATGGTGGTTTGTACACCACCACACCTGTATTTACAGAGTCAGTTTGTTGTGCTGCGAGTCATCATCTGTATATGTATCGACGTGCTGTTGGGTCAGACTGGAAGCACTGAAGCGAGGCCGTCCCGAGATATGATACCTCACAACCATCAGATGCCCAGCTCTTGTTCCCCATCAACCCAAAGCGTCCTCTGTAGACTTTTTACAGCCAGATCTCGATTTAATCTAGTTTTTTTCTTTTCAAGTAATAACCAATAAGATCTAGTGCTAAAGAGAGCGTTGTGGGACTCAACAGATCCTGGGTCGGACAGACAGGGAGACGTTTCCTGCTGTTTGCACAACACTATTGCAGAAAACGGCAAATCTCCTTTTTGTACTGAATCAGGAAGCTGGATGAGTGCTATTATTTCTTTTCTCGCTTTAACTCTTAACTATTTTTCCCCGGATCTGTGTTACCCTTCAAGTTTGCATGTGCATCAGGGAGGCAAAACAAAGAGTCAACGCGGTAGGAGGTGATGTTTACCACACACGCCCGTGTGTGTGCGCGCATCAATCATTTCAAGAAATGAGTGACCTGGTATGCTTGTTCTGCCCCCCCTTCCCCCTACCCGTAAAGGACTTTGTCTGTCAGCTTATCTTAGCCGCGATGCTGAGGGATTGAAGAGACGTGAGCTCATCAGCAGCCCATCGGCCCATGTGTTCCTAATAATCTACTCCTCGCTCCGAATCATAATTAGAATAATCAAAGCTAAGCGTGCTTGTATTCGTAACCCCCCCCCCCCACCCCCACCATAATTTGCGCACACATACAGACACACACATGTTCACCTAGAAACCCCCTTGCGAGAGCCATACAAAGTCCTCAGAGAGCGTGAGGAAGGGATATATGAGGAGGGAGGGAAAGGGGGGTTCTTAAGCTTTGAGTCAAGCTTTGGGATTATTGGGTCATGCTTTGTTACCCAGCTGTAGAGAAACCCCTTGTTCACAGAAAGAGGGGGGGTTCTGTGTGTGTGTGTGTGTGTGTGTACCTCTGTCTCGGCAACGTTACATAAAGCTGTAATGGGTCCCTGACGCCTTCTGAAGCAGCGCTGACTCTGACAAAGCGAGGCAGCAGAGTTGAACAGGATTAAAGTGGAAGTGGGGGGGCAGTCAGAGGGCTGTTGAACCCCCCCCCCCCAGCATTTTATGTCCTCAAAGCGGCCCCTTTAATTAAGACGGGATAGCAAGAGTCAGCAATTTTTGGGTCAAGAGAAGTACTAAGAGTTGGCATGGCAAATACATGGCCGAGGTTTTTCTTTTTAAACTTATTCCACACGCAGACTGGAAGCATTCCTATCAAAGAATGTGCAAACTTTTGAAGATTAGTGATAAGAAGTTCCAAAAAACTGTTTCTTGGTAAGTACAAAGTAGAATGATTCAACATGATGACACGTTGTCTTTCAATCAAATCATATATTGAGTTATCGTGACACACGATCATCATCTGAATGAATATAAACTTCCAGAGTCAAGGATTCCCTTCTGTTTTTACGTAAAATGTTACAATACCACTGTGTTTAATGCCACTAACTAAATATGGAAATATAAGTTTGCGATTGACTCACCAGAAAATGATATATGATACATACGGGAAAGCTGCACAAAAGGTGTGTTGTGGTGAGCTGTACCCAGCATGCAGTTTGGTGGGGTGATTTTTATAAATGTACCATTATTAGTGTTACAAATAGTTTGTGTCACAAGCTGTTGTGGTGTTTTACCCCGTTAAGGAGTGTTTGTTGTGGGTTATTCAGTGTTGTTATAAAGTTATAACCATGACTCAATCTCAACACACGTAAGACAAGTAGCTCCCCAGTGACGCGTTACAATAAATTCGGCCACGTGCCGAAGAGCAGCGCTAGTTGTTATGGCGTAACACCGGTATGAATGTTACACCCGATATACATACCGTACGAAAACCGATATATCGCACACAGCCTACTGTGGAGACGCAAGCGGTTCTCTGGGTGTAAATCCGGCTGCTCAAGAGCACTGCGCCGGTAGTCAGGAGCAGCCCCCCCCCCCCCCACCCCTCCTGCCGACTTGAATGTGCACGTCTAGCTTCTTTTTAACGTGAAGCCCTTTTGAAATCTCTATTAAACGCTTGTCATGTCATTCATTTAAAGAAATGGTACATTTTCAACTGGCGAGTGCTTTGAGCTTCACAGAGCTGCTAGTTGCAGTCCGATGCAGGAACGTTCATTTGCAAAAAGACATCTCTTCTCCAGATTTGTCCTTAAGTGCATCTCTTCTTGGATCTCTTTATTGGTGTATTTCACAGCAGAGCCCGTTTAGTGCCACGACTTACGCCACTTAGCGCGCGCGCACGCACACAAACACGCAGACTGACAACATTTAATCAGTGTAATTCATTTTTTGCCCGCCGCACTCAAAGAGAGAGAGAGACCAGTAAAACAAATCAGCCCCGTGCTCTTATTAGCTCTCGGAGAGGCTCGGGAAAGATGAGGCCATTAGGACGACGCTCTGTCGACCTATTCATCAAAGGAAGAGGCGCCCGTGTGCACGAGGGCTGATTATCTAAAATCATTAATCAGAGCTGGTTGTTTGAGGGCACCAAACATTCTCGGCAAAGGCTGGTTAAATGAGAAGAAAAGCTTGTTTGTCAAACTCTTCTTCTTTCCTCCAATATTCACACAATTGTGTGTGTGTGTGTGTGTGTGTGTGTGTGTGCGTGTGCGCACAGTGCCGATCCCAACGTCATCATTACTTTAGAGGAAAAGTGTTCATTGTCTGCTCTTGGAATGATTGTTGCCGATTAACTAGACATCCCGCCTTTTGTTGCCTTGCGTTGGGGCGGTTTCCTTGTCGCCGTCTTGGATTACAACCCCCGCCAGGTTTTTTTTCTTTTTTTGGGGGGGCGACCACTGAACAGAAGTTACCACATTCTGACTGTGGAGGAGTGAAGTAGTGACGCTGTATTTCACTTCCTGTGCTTGCTGCTGTGAGGGGTCGCAGTGCGCTGTGTGGCTGACGGTAACAGAGGCCACATTGACTTCATTTGAGTCGGTAAGAAGGGGGCATTGGGGCCGAAGTGTTCAAAGTCTGGTG